TCGTTTGTGGCATCAGCTTGCAGGCATAATTTTTTTGAACTTTGAAAGGTAAGCTATTGTGGTCATGTATTAAGCAGCCTTTCTTCACGTTAGTTCTGTTTTGTGGGACAGTATGATGGCTTTAGCATTACTATTTTTAAGGAATTTGTGATGGATTATGTTGTTTTTATTTTCTTTTTGAGATGTGAACTCTCCTGATCAATTCTAGTCAATAACTTTTGGGGGAGGTTTATTAATATGTGAGAGAGAGAGAGTGAGAGTGTGTGTGTGTGTGTGTGTGTGTGTATGTGTAGAAGGTGATAATCTTTGGCTTCGGTTTTCAACAAGAATTTGAAAAATTCAGTTACAACTAGAGAACTTTTTTTCTAGTTTTTATTCAGTTGTCCTTCATTCCCTTTGGAAATAGTGGACCTGACCCAGTTCTTTTTTGAGAATTCATTTCACAGAACAGTGCGTTAAAATATTTTTGTTCTTCTAATCAAGTACAGTGTAAGAACTGGCAGGCATCCGTAGCTTCTGTTCTTTAACATGCAAATAATTCTATTCCTTGGTTAAGAAACTGGCTCTGTTATTATACTTACTGATTCTGGGATAGCAGGATGTGATCTGAGGAATATAGCTACTTCATACATAAAATAAATGCTTTTTCTCTATAAGCATTTTTTATCTTGATTTTGTTAATCAAATTCGTATAACTTTCTAACAGTTATCTTTGAAATATGTAATGGTGTGGTAAAAGAAGAATACCATAGGTATTGGAAATTAATTCATTGTTGAATAAAATTTAGATTATTATGAAATTGAACAGGACTTTATTGCTACATCAGGATAATTTCTTAATAAAAAGTTGATCCAGCTGCCTTCACTTGTTTGATTTAGTATGCCATGTGAGTCTTAGTAATTGACATTTAGTTTGAAAATAAATTTTGGCTAAGTTATGGCTGAGAGATAAAATATGTATTGGATTAACTCTTAATGATTATACCCTGAAAGTATTATAGACATAAACACTGAGAACTGTTTATAATACATGTTAGATGTCTATAAAGATGTTCTAGATGTTTCAAGTACTACAGTGCAGTTGTTCTTTTCCTATATTTGATAAGAAAAAAACCTGTAATTTGGTGAGGAATAGAATGGAAAGGAGAGAGAAAGAAGGGGGAAAGTTGAGGTGGGTGGGGTATAGTAGTTTCAGAGGGCTGCAATAACCAAGTACCACAAACTGGGTAGCGTAAAATAACAGAAATTTATTCTCTCGCAGATCCAGAGGTTAGAAGTTTGAAATCAAGTTGTTGGCAGGGCCATGCTCTCTGAAGGCTCTGAGGAGCATCTTTCCTTGCCTCTTGCTCGCTTCTGGTGGTTGTCCATAATCCTTGGCTCATAGACATACTGTACCAGTCTCTGCCTCCGTCGTCACATAGCGTTCTCCCTGTGTATCTCTGTGGCCAGATTTCCCTCTTCTTATCAGGACACCGGTTATATTGCATTTAGGTTCATTCTAGGATTCTAGGTATAACTAGGATTATAGTTATATTCACATATATGCTTTGCATATCCCCTTGCATAGGCCTAAGTATCTAATATTTCCCATTCATGTAGCAGAGATTGCGTTAAAGGAATACTTGGTTACGAAACATCTGTTTATATAGATGTGGAGCCAGCAGACTTTCCACATTACCTCTTAATAGCCCAGTATTTATAGAACCAAGCTAGACTGTTCTTAAGTGTTTTAACTGCTATTATTTTGTTCTTATTTATTTTATATCCACAACACCTAACAGTGCCTGATGCTGATTTATTGAGTAAAGAATGAATTAATGAAAGAATGGGGGTGTGTGTGTGTCTCCATTGAAGGGTTATCAATAATGGCATGATATGGGGAATTTTCATTTAATAAGTATATTCTCCTCCATCCTTTTTTAAAACGCAACTGGTAGCATCCTTCACATACTATTCTATGCTTTGCTTTTATTACTTGCAATGTATCATTCCATATTGGTATACAAATGCATGATTGCATAGTATTCCATTGCACAGATATTTTATAATTTATTTAACTAGTCTCCCTTTTTTATTTTTAATTGCGATAAAATACACATAAAATTTACCATCTTAACCATTTAAAAACATTTTTTTATTGCAGTAACATTAGTTTATAACATTACATAAATTTCAGGTGTACATCATTATATCTCGATTTCTGTCTAGATTACATCATGTTCACCACCCAAAGACTAATTACAGTCCATCACCACACACATGTGCCTAATCATCTCTTTCGCCCTCCCCTCCCTTTCCTCTTCCCCTCTGGTAACCACCAATCCAATCTCTGTCTCTATGTGATTGTTATTGTTTTTATCTTCTACTTATGAGTGAGATCATACGGTATTTGACTTTCTCCCTCTGACTTATTTCACTTGGCATAATACCCTCAAGGTCCATCCATGTTGTCACAAATGGCTGGATTTCATCATTTCTTATGGCTGAGTAGTATTCCATTGTGTATATATACCACATTTTCTTTATCCATTCGTCCCTCGATGGACACCTAGGTTGCTTCTAAGCCTTGGCTATTGTGAATAATGGTGCAATGAACATAAGGGTGCATGTATGTTTATGCATTTGTGTTTTCATGCTCTTTGGATAAATACCCAGCAGTGGAATAGCTGGATCTATAGTAGTTCTGTTCTTAATTTTTTGAGGAATCTCCATACTGTTTTCCATAATGGCTGCACCAGTTTGCACTCCCACCAGCAGTGTATGAGAGTTCCCTTCTCTCCACATCCTCTCCAACTCTTGTTGTTTCCTGTCTTGTTAATTATAGCCATTCTGATGGGAGTGAGGTGATATCTCATTGTAGTTTTGATTTGCATTTCCCTGATAGTTAATGATATTGAACATCTTTCATGTGCCTGTTGGTATCTTCTTTGGAGAAATGTCTATTCAGGTCTTTTGCCCATTTTTAAATTGGGTTGTTAGTTTTTTTGTTGTTGAGATGTATGAGTTCTTTATATATTTTGGGTATTAACTCCTTATCAGATATATGGTTTGCAAGTATCTTCTCCCAAGTACACATTTTTAAGTGTACACATTTTTAAGTATATGGTTCAGTGTTGTTAAGTGTATTCACATTATTGTGTAACCAATCTCCAGAACTTTTTCATCTTGCAAAATCGAAACCCTCTGCTAATTCAACTTCCTATTTCCCCTTCCTGGAAACCACCATTCAATCTATGAAATTGAGCTAGTCTCCCTTCTTAGTTGTTTTCATCTTTGCTCTTACAAACAATGCTGCAGTATTTACTGCAAATATTATATTATATGCAAATAGCCTTGCATATGTGTCATTTTCACATAAATAAATATATTTATAAGATGAATTCCTAAAAGTGGAATTACTGAGTAAAAAGATGGTCACATTTCTTAATTTTGATATATATTGCCAAATTGACTTCCAAAACTATTGTACCCACTTTATACTCCCCCCCAGCAATGTGTGATATAGCAGCTGTTTAAATATGTTTCAGTAAAGTTAGCTTGTCAGCCGAACTGAACAGGGAACTTGGGAAAGGAAAGTTGGTGTTGCTGCCTTTTTCAGGAGGCTGGGTTCTCCCAGTGTCCTACCTCTATTCCGTAAGGATTATTTGACATCTGTAATGTAGTTTCTATACCGCATTCATTTTAAAAATTTTAAGTGAAAATTTTTTCCCATACAGTGTAAGCTATTTGAGTATTAGTAATAACATTAATCTGATAGAATGATTGGAATATCTCACTTTGCAAGTAGGTATCACAACTTAATGTATATCAGCCCAGCTGAAAATTTCCTTAATACAAAATTTTAAGATCTTTAAAATGAATGAATAGATGCCTTGCTTAAATGGGTTTTAATAGAAAGAAAAAGTTGGCAGAAGCCTTTTCTCAAATGAGTGCTTATGGAGAGCTCCACTGTGTTATGAGGAGCTCCACTGTATTGGGGTGACAGTGAAGGGTGATTGGAGAAGGAGGGGGACTGCAGGAGCTCAAGCAGGTGGACTCCAAGTCTCCCCGTCCCTGTTTTATCCAGAACTCGTACACACAGGTGGCTTGACTTCTTTACTTTTAGCGTTGAGTGAGATGAGTGAATACTAGTGTATAATCAGCCTCTGGTAATTCGTTTCAGACATTTGAGGAACCCTAGAAGCTTCTTTGTAGAATCCTGATGTTTGAAACTCATGCTAAATTTTACTTTTTCTGTGAAGTAAATTTACTATAAAAAGAGGCATAACTACTTGGAGATACCACTATTTTCCTTACAGTGTACATATAGGTTTTGGTGCAATGACTTTTCATCTGGAGATTTTAAATAAATTTAACCTCTTTGTTAGTTTTCTTATTTTTAAAATGAAAATGCTTAAATACTTTTGTAATTTGTTTGCATATTTTATTATAAAGTAGAATTTGAAAGGCTCTGGGAAACCACCTCCCAATGATAATAGTTTGGAATTCATTCCCCCAGCCTTTTTTAACATATAAATTTTATTCCTTCTTTAAAAAGATGCATCATGATATATATACACTGTTTTGTGATTTGCTTTGTTTGCTTGATAACAGGTCCTTTTGGGTTAGTGTATAGAGATAACCTCCATTTTTTTAATGGATTTACAGTCTTCCATTATATCATAATTTTCTTATCCATTCTCCTGTTGGTGAACATTTAAGTTGCCATAAACGTCCTTTATTCATATATCTTTGCGTATTTGGACAAATGTTTCTGTAGGATAACTTCTAAGAAGTAGAACTTCTAGATCAAATATAAAATCCATTTTATATTTTAATGGATATTTTGGGGGTCTATAAAATGTTATATCAGTGTCCTGATTTTTATAGGAAACAAACTTAGCTCTAAACTTACGGAAGTTTTAGCTAGGTGATATATCATCATTGATGTATATCAGTTTTTTAATATAAGGTTTCTAGTACTGTAAAAATCTTTAAAATGACAGCTTTTATTCTTACAGTGATGGAATGGGGAGAAGATATTAAAGCAATTTCAAAAGATGAAGCAGTAATGTTGGTGAATCATCAGGCAACAGGAGATGTGTGTACTCTGATGATGTGCCTCCAGGACAAAGGACTGGTAAGCCATGCTGAGGGCAGAGGTAGACAGCAGAAAGGGGAGGTTAACAAGGAATCAAGTCCAGGATCTTACTATGGTTTGGAAAATAGACTTAGACTTTGATGTGTATACTTTTCCTGAAAATTTAGAAAATTTTAAAAAGAAAAAAATATATAATTCTAAGTCACTCCGGGAGAGGAATTTAGAGACTTAAAAAAAAAATAACTGGGATAATGGGAATTATATCTCCATAAAGCTGTTTTAAAAATAACTGAGATGAAAGCAAAGTTAATATGGTTTAAATTGGGGACTGTCTTGAGGTGAAATGGTGGATTGCCAGTTTGAGAAATACAGACACAAAAAGCAGCATTACTCAAGATACAGTAAAATTGGCTACCGAATTAGGTGGTCTTGGGGATCTTTAACCAAAAGAGAATAAGGTAAATATTATTTTGGATTTCATTTACAAAGCAAATTGAAAGGAAAGATATTAGGCTCATTTTATTCAGTGTTACTAAGGCTGTGTTTGAACTGTTGATTTTACATTGCTTATATTGATAACTATATCAATAAACTGAGAGGGTTTAAAATAAATTATCTTCAACATCTTATGAGAAGTTAAAGTGGTTATAGTCATAGAAAACTAAATAAATAGAAAATGTATAAATTTAATGGAGTTAATATTTGGCCTAATAGTGAAGAAACAAATCAATAGATTTTTATTAAGTGCTTCATATTCATGGTTGGTAACTCTTAAGTATAGAATACTATGCTGTAAGACTCTGTCCTACTCTGTGCTCTTAAAGGAGCTAACAGGCCCTTGGTAGGTGGAGAGGGTATAGCAAACAATACTTAATTGCAAGGTGAGAAGTATTCAGTGGAGGGTGAGCTCACCATGTACTTGATGGATGTAGAAAACTTTGTAGAGGGAAGAGGACATGTAGACTTAGCTTTGAAAGGTGAGTAGAATTTACTTACAGTGGTGAAGCAAGGGCTTTCTTCCTTATGAAACAATCTTAGCCAAAACACCAAGGTGAGAATAAGCTTGGTGTATTTAGGTCCTAGAGATTTTGCCTCAGTAGGTCAGGGGTCAGAAATCGAGGCGAGAGTAAAGGAAAATATGTTTGATTATTGTGGAATCTGTTTTTCTTGTTTATCTGAAAAGCGAAGGCATAATCTTGCTGGAATGTGGAATAAAGTCAATCCTTTCTTATATTCAGAATCTTGAATTGTTAAAAGAGTATCACTATGTAGGTATATTTGTACTTATGGTAATATTTATTGCCTGTCCTCTAAGTTCATGATGTTAAAATTTTGTAAAAACTAGTTTATTTGGCTTTGTATCAAAGACAGCCCACAATTAACAAACATTTTTATTCTTACTGATATGATAATTATATTTATAGTGATTGTTCTGAGGGCCTACAGTGTCCTTAATTGGGTTTTGAATCTCAAAGAGTGATTAAAATGGTTAGTATAAGTAAGCCTAACTTTATTACTCTAACTCCAGTTTGGCGTAGATGATAACTGTATTAACCAGAATATTAGGTAATCTGAAATTCGCCAATCATATGGACAAAAGAAAGTTTGCTTTGTCTGTTTGCTTTTGTTAAGAAGATTTCGGTTAGTTTGTGTTAGGTTCATTTTTCTGTCCAGAGAAGTTTTGTTTTTATTTTCAGATTAGTTATAGTGAACATTTTTTATGATGATCTGATATTACTGAATAATTTGAAATCTTGAAGAATTTTTTATCTTCTTTCATAAAGGAGTAATTGAGTAATATAAAGCTGGAAGCATTATAATCTTTACCACTTGTCTAATAAGTAGAGAGCAGTATTAGTTTATATTTACAAGCAGGAATGTTTACTTGATTTATTGCATACTCCATGGGTACATTCCAAGAAAGAAGGCTAATGCTAAATTGTGGGCCAGTTAAAAAATAGTAGTTTAGTGGTGATGTCAGTATAACATAGTTTTTTGAATTCAAGAGACTTCTTGTAGCACCAATGAGTGTTTCTCAGTGGAGGCACTGTTGGCATTTTAGTAGGACAACACTATTGTTCTGAACTGTCCTGGGCATTGTTAGACGTTTTCCATACCTGACTGCCACCCACTAAATGCTAGTACAGCACGTCTAGTCATTGTTGCCACCAAAATTGTCCTTACAGATTTCTAAACTAGAGAACCATTGACTTTACTGTCATTTCAGAAAGACATAAAAGAATGGAGTCATTCACGGAAGCCTCTCTAGATATTTTGATATGTAGAAAATCCGTGCTTCTGGATAAAGAATAATTGGTGTAGACCAATTTTGTCTCTTGGAAATACCTAACAAAATCCTGAGTGACGGGCCCCTGAATCATTGACAGAATTGCTTCAGGTGGCTTGTGTCTACTGACCCTCTTTTTTTTTTTTTTTTTGTGAGGAAGATCAGCCCTGAGTTAACATCCATGCTAATCCTCCTCTTTTTGCTGAGGACAACTGGCTCTGAGCTAACATCCATTGCCAATCCTCCTTCCTCCCCCTTCCCCCCAAAGCCCCAGTAGATAGTTGTATGTCATAGTTGCACATCGTTCTAGTTGCTGTATGTGGGACGCAGCCTCAGCATGGCCGGACAAGTGGTGCGTTGGTGCGCGCCCGGGATCCAAACCCGGGCCGCCAGTAGCGGAGCTCGCGCACTTAACCACTAAGGCATGGGGCGGCCCACTCTTTTTTGAGGAATATGAAACAAAGGATTAATTGTATTTTCTAAATGTGCTGGTACCTTTTTAATAAATATCTGTGAAGTGAAGAGCCTTGCCCTTTTATGGCAATTGATGGTGAAACTAAGAATTTTTATTTCTGTCAAAAGAACTTTATTAGATATATAATAAACATTTATTGACTTGTAACATTTCCCCTAAAATGTTAGGACAGAATTATTCATATAAATCTCAGAAGATAGCTTGATTCTCTTACCGTATTTATTTGTTTTAGGTGACCTTTCTAACTGAAGGGGTAAATCCACCATAAATGTAAAATTAAACACAAAAGCTAGTGACTTGAGTGTTGGCGTTTTAAACCCAGAGACCAATAAATTGCAGCTGAACTTCATACTGTGTTTAAAGCTCAAATGTTTTATAGGTTGAATCCACTTGCTTTTTATTTTGTTCCTTGGGGCACTTTTCAACAAATTCCATTTCGTTCAAATCTCAATTTATTTAAACAAAGTAGTCACCGTTACAAAGCAACACAAGACTGAAAAATGAGATGTTGGTGATTATTTTGTTCTGTTTTAATTGACTTGGGGAATCAGTTCTTCACTGGGCATGTATATTTTTTAAAAGTGGTTTTCTATAGTAAAGCTGATGGAGGAGTTGTGTAACTGAACTATTTAGTGATAACTGAAGAATTAAGACAGAAGCTTTAATATTATATTATTTGTGGGCTTTTATAATGTTTTTGTAAAAGCAGCACCTGGGTGTCAATGCTTATTTTTTTCCTTATATGTAAATTCATATACTTTGGAGCTTAGAGATGTTTATATTTGTTATTCCCATAGGAACCAAAGTAGAGCTCTGTTGTGTTCTTGATTGAGATTGTAGCTTTCTCTTTATTTATTTAAGGCTTATAACAAGGAATGCTGTTTCCTCAACAGGGAAAAACAGTTAACCAATTCATTAATTAGATCCCTGTTTACAATTACTTTTAATTTTGAAATTTGCTTGAAATAAAGTATTCTGCTCTTGATAAAAATATTAACTCTTATCAGCAATGGATAATATTTTTGTGTTTGAGAACTGAGGCGCTATAAACATTTTTATGCTGGCAAAGAGTATGGCCTTGCATAAACTAACAAATAGTCTTCATCACATAATAGAATGTGTAAATCATTCTGTTAAAGGGATTTTTAAATGTTCCTTTATTTTGGACATTTTTATATTTTATATTTTTATAAATTTTTATATTTTATATAAAATATATTTTATTTTGTAACTTTTAATATTTTAACCATTAAGATAAAGTCACGGTTTATAAGCTTTAGTGCTTAATAATTAAATGTATAACCCACATTTGATAACTTTAGCCATTTTATTGTATTGTTTCAAAATAATTTTACAAGTTATATGAGAATTATCAGAGACTTTGTTTAGGGTAGAACAAATTTGAAATCATTAAGTCCAAATTTAAGAAATTAATTCAGCTTCATTTGTTACACAGTGATATATATAGCTGTAACTTAGGATTCCAAGGCTTGGAATCAAGACCTGTAATTTTTCATGTAGAGTCTATAACTGTGCTTTATTTGTAGAAATAACATTAGATTTAAGATATTTAGGTTAATTAGAAGTATGCTTGGAAGAGTGTATTTAAAACTTACAGACTTGGCTAGACTATAGTCAGGTTTCTTCTATCCAACATTTAATTATTTCTTGTTTTAAAATATTTTAGGTTGTTGCCCAAATGATGTGGTTGATGGATCATATTTTTAAGTACACAAACTTTGGAATTGTTTCTCTAATTCATGGGGACTTCTTTATAAGACAGGTAAGTAATGAGCATTTTTTCGCGGTGATAGCCTGATAAAACTGATTCTTTATAGTAAAAAGAGGGATAACAAACCCAATTATAATAGGTAGAGCCAGTTCTAGTATCTCAGGGAGCTCTTCCTCTGAATCTTTATTCCTTAAAACTTTTATTTTAATCTGAATTTGAGTATGCATAAGCATTAAAATGCTGATAGTGTAAATATCCTAATCTCTACCGTCCTTCTCCCATCTAAACAGGACAATGTGTAGTAAACATTTGTCAAGCACCTGCCATATTCTCAGCTCTTCTGCTGCTTAGCTATGAGAATAGTAGATACTCTCCTCATAGGGTTGTGGGGATTAAATGAAGTCATCCGTGGTAGGCACTCGGAACAGTGCCTGCTACCTTCTTCGTCATTTTTATCGTGGTTACTACTATCATCATCTATGTTATCACTATTATTTTTATTTACAAATCACTGTTATATGATACAGAAGGTACCTAAATTATCAGTAGGAAGATTATTAAATAATTAAGATTACCAGTAGGGAGATTATTAAATAAATACATAAGTAAATATTTTGGGAATTCATAATAGGAAAAGTGAGTACGTAAATTTCTGTGAATCCAGAAACACTTTAGAGGAGAAGGTGATATTTGGCATAGATATTTGGTATAAATCTAAAGAATGAGTATGGGTTTGATAGAGGAAGGTGGATTGGGAATGGGTTCCAAGCATTAGGAATAGTTTAGTGTGGGAAAAAGAATCATACTCTCTTATCAAGTTGGCAGTACATTATAGTATTTCCCTGATATGCTACTAGTATCACACGCTTTATTTTCTCAAAAATGGATAATGAAGTATGATATGCAAGAGTTTTTATGTATGATAGCGCACACTTATCTGGTCTTTATATGTTTAGCAACTTCAACCTGGATTGTGCAGTACCTTGCACATAATAAGTACTTAATGAATAACTGGTGAGTCTAATTAAGCCTCTTCTAAGAACCACAAATTCAGAAAAAATCTAGAAGTGTGTAGAAAAACTTCTAAGCTGGGTCTGGCCTGGTGGAATAGTGGTTAAGTTTGCCTGCTCTGCTTGGGTGGCCCGGAGTTTGCAGGTTTGGATCCTGGGCGCGGATTTACACACTGCTCATCAGGCCATTCTGTGGCAGCATCCCACACACATAAAACAGAGGAAGATTGCCACAGATGTTAGCTCAGAGACAATTTTGCTTAAGCAAAAAGAGGAAGATTGGCAATAGATGTTAGCTTAGGGCCAATCTTCCTCACCAAAAAAATCCCCCAAAAAACCAGCCTCTAATCTGTATGAAAATAGGTGTCACAAAACACATATACTTTACTCCGACAGTTTTATGTACAGAACGTACTTTTGTTTTTCACATGCTGTGCGATTATCTAGTTTGTTCTGGAAACACCCTTGGTTCTTCTGAGCAGAGAAAGGAATAGAAGCATGCACTGGAACCTCAGGAGGAAGTGGCAATGGGGACTGGCCACAAGACAGAGACAGAGTAAACAGTGATCAGAACAACTTCACAGAGAAGCTCCTAGCCTAGCAACATCTCAGAGTATGGCGGGAGGGAAAGACAGCAGAACCAGTGATTGAAGCTAAGCAGTCTAGGAATCCAGAGGAAAACTACCTGAGCCCCTTACATCATGAGAGTCTAAGGAAATTATTGAATTTCTAGTGTAGGATAACAATTGACCCTAATATGGTCCTCGGGTATCAAGAAGAGGCTAAATTATACTAAATTATCAATGTGCTTTGAGGAGATAAAAGTAGAAAATAATGTACTCCAAAACATTTTCATTTTTATTACAACATAAAGTTTTACCTACTTAAAGACTGTATTTCAAAATATCAGAGAGATGTTCAAATTCATTTCTAAAGAGCAACATTGTTTTCCCTGATAGATAGTAATAAAAATCTTAACATCCGGGGGGAGGGGAAAGAAAAAAGTATTAACGTTAAAGAAAATCTCTTGAGACTTTGCTAGTAGACAGTTTTGACAAGATATTGCTACTGCACAAAAGCAGGGTTCTCTGCCTGGTGCACATAATCAAGCCAATTAATTATGGGATCAGCCGTTGGGAAAAAGAGATCAGCTTTATTCTGTGAGATCAATCTGCAGGGAGAAAAGGGGGCATGTCCCCTCAGATCTGTCCACCCAATTCAGGATTTGGGGCAAAATTTAAGAGGTTAGAACAGGCTGGCACTGGTGGGACAAGTTTTGATTGGTGGGCTTCAAACGTTTATGGTAAGATTTTATTTTATTTTATTTTATTTTATTGTTTTTGTGAGGAAGATCAGCCCTGAGCTAACATCCGTGCTAATCCTCCTCTTTTTGCTGAGGAAGACCGGCTCTGAGCTAACATCTATTGCCAATCTTCCTCCTTTTTTTCCCCCAAAGCCCCAGTAGATAGTTGTATGTCATAGTTGCACATCCTTCTAGTTGCTGTATGTGGGAGCGGCCTCAGCATGGCCAGAGAAGCGGTGCGTCGGTGCGCACCCGGGATCCGAACCCGGGCCGCCAGTAGCGGAGCGCGTGTACTTAACCGCTAAGCCACGGGGCCGGCCCTATGGTAAGATTTTAAACATTTATGATGAGGTTGTAAACTGTTATGATAGGGTTCCAAATGTTTTTGATGAGATAGGGAAGGAATTTTACCACCAGATCTTCCTGAATGAGGGACCCCTCGCTTCTGATACGAGTCCAACTTTCAAGGTCTGGTTGTATCCTAGTCCTTGGGTTCTGTGGGAAGGAGGATCTTTGGTTCCAAGGTCATTTCAGGTCAAGATTTCTTCTTTTTCACATGCCCTGGCCACATAACTTTGCAGATTTTCTGAAAGGCAGTTCTTAATTACTCTGTTGATAAGATGGGGTCAGTTGAACTGGTCCTTGAGGGCCCGCAGTTAGAATATTTCCAAGAATATTAAAAATATTTTACATGTAGTCTTGGGAACTTAATAAATAAATAATGCTTAATCATAATTCAGTTCAGTAAACTAGCTAAGAAAATATCTTACTTGTTTTGCATTTGGACTAATTTAATCTAAAGACTGAAAGCATACAAATTATTTTGGGGAGCTTCTGTAATTGTGTTTACTGGAAGATTGTTAGCGAATTGATCGTACTGAAAGGAAGAACCTTTGTAATATTTAGTTGTGGGTTTGGGCCTTCCTGCAAATTTTTCTGGATTCCTCTTTTAGGTCTCCAAGTCATCCTCTTTCCTCTCTTTCCCTCACAACTAAGATCCAGTTCATTAGAATGTCCTATTAGCTTTACTTTCAAATTTTTCCCTAAGTGTATCCATTTCTCATTAATATACTATAGTCAAATCTCATCAAACTCCCTTGTCTTGATGACTGCAATAGTATCCTAACTTATCTCCGGGGTAGTTTTTTTTGTCACTGGAACCAGATGATTTTTTTTTTTTGGTGAGGAAGATTAGCTAGCCCTGAGCTAATGTCTGTTGCCAATCCTCCTCTTTTTGCTGAGAAAGACTGGCCCTGGGCTAACATCCATGCCCATTTTCCTCTACTTTATGTAGGACACCTGCCACAGCATGGCTTGATAAGCGGTGCATAGGTCTGCGCCTGGGATCCGAACCCACAAACTCCAGGCCAGTGGAGCGGAACGCACCGATTTAACCACTGCACCACCGGGCCAGCCCCCAGATTTTTTTTTTTTTAATGTAAATATATTGTTCAAAACCTTCCAGTGACTTCCTACGCCACCAAAACCACTCACCAAGTACAAGGCTCTTCTTACCTCTTCTCTTCCTATCTCTGCAGTTTCCTCTCCTATGCTGTCTTCCTCATTCATAACACTTCACCCACACTGGCCTTCTTTGAACAAGCCAAGCTTGTTCCCACCTCAGGGCCTTTGTCCTTTTTTTTTTTTTTTTTGCTGAGGAAGATTGGCCTTGAGCTAACATCTGTTGCCAATCGTCCTCTTTTTGCTTGAGGAAGATTGTCTCTGAGCTAATATCTGTGCCAGTCTTCCTCTATTTTGTATGTGGGACGCTGCCACAGCATGGCTTGATGAGCAGTGTGTAGGTCTGTGCCTGGGATCCAAACCTGCGAAGCCTGGGCCACCGAAGTGGAGTGTGCAAACTTAACCACTATGCCATCGGGCCGGCCCCCACAGCCTTTGTCCTTTGTATTCTCATCACCTGGAATCCTCTGCCTCTCATCTTCCTGTGGCTTGTTCCCTCACATTATCAGTTGTTTGCTCAAATTTCACCTCCTCGGAGTTGCTTTCCCTGACTTTGTTGACCGTCTCTATCCTCTTACTCTTTTCTTCCTGATGCATATCACTGATTGAATTTACACTCCCTGTTTACTGTCTTCTCCACTAGACTGAGCTCCATGAGGGTCTCTCACTTACTTCTCTCTCCAGTGTGTAGGACAGTGCCTGGCAAATAGTAGGCACTCAGTAAATAGACACTGAATTGATGAGTGGATGAACTTTCAGGGGCAATTAGAACAATTTTTTTCTTCAGAAAGAAGGGTTTATTTATGCAAGTGCTAATAATTTCTTTTCACCACTATGGTCAAGAGGGGAAGTAAGTGGGGGAAAATCACTAATCTAGTCTATGACTGGGTTTTATTTTAGAAGCTGTTATTTCTATTTAATTTTATGGCATTTAATTTTGAATGTACCTATACTTATTATATGTGTGTCTACCTTCTAGGGAAAATCTCATCGTGACCAACAGCTTCTTTTTCTCAAGAAGCACCTAGAAAATAATTACAGGAGCAGAGATCGAAAATGGATTGTTTTGTTTCCAGAAGGGGGCTTCCTCAGGAAGAGGCGAGAAATGAGTCAGACGTTTGCCAAGAAAAATAACTTGCCATTTCTTACACATGTCACTCTGCCAAGGGTTGGGGCAACAAAAATTATTTTGAGTGCACTTGTAGCGCGACAGGAAAATGGAAGTCCAGCAGGAGGAGATATTAAAGAATTAGGTATAATGGTTTTTAGCATTTTTTTCCTGTGTTGGAATTAAAGGGTTTTCTGGAGTTCCAGAAGATAACATTGTCATTCTTTTCTATACTTATAATTTTTGTCAAATAGAAATAATATCAGGGAAAAGATGAAAATATAATTTTTAAATGTTTCTATTTACAAAAGTAGTCCATGCTTACAATAATTTATTCAAATAATAGAGAAATGCATCAAGTCAAAGGTTTGTTTCCTCTCCCCTCCCTGTCCTTACTCTTGGCCATTCCCATTGCTGCAGTAAACGTTTCTGTAAATATCTGTACATATTTGAAGAAGTATTTCTGTGGTATAGATTCCTAGAGGTGGAATTGATAGGTTAAAAGATATAGGGATAGAAGTGACTAATTTGAAAAACTAATCATAGATATGCAAATGAAAATAGTAATGATGTATATTTTTTTCATTTATCAAATTTAGAAAATGTTTTTTGTTTTAATACAGAGGATAAATTTAATATAGTTTGGCAGTATTTATTAAGAGCCTGAAAATGTTGATAAATGACTCAGTTATTCCATTGCAAATAATACTCGTCAAAAGGAAATAATCTGAAATACTGGCAAAGAAGGTTATCACAGTGTTATTTATAATAGCAAAAAATTGGAAATAGCAGAAAGGAAAACGGATAAGTAATTATCAGATATCCATACAACAGAATACAACACAGCCATTACAGATGATGTTTATGGAGAGTTTTTGTTGGCTTGGAAAAATGCATATCCTCTATAATGTTCATGGAATGGGAGGAACATAAAACTCCTATGAAAACGATATGAGCTCAAATATGTAAACAATAAGACAGTAGACAATGAGTGAAAGGAAAGATACCAAAATGTTAGCAGTGATGGCTTCTCTGAGTTGTAACATTATGGATGATTTTTTCCCATTTCTTAATACTTTTCTGAAAAATTTTTTATAGTGAGTTTGTATTACTTTTATGGCTGGGAAAAAGTAAACCACACTCAAAGATGTAACTATCTTGGAGATAGCCTGGTGAATTGTGGAGATTTGCGGAAGATATTTATGCCAACAGCATGAAGACTGTTCTGAACAAATTTATCTAAGGACACTGAAAGTTTGGTGATAAATTATAAACTAAAAAGCTGAAAGAAACTCACTAGTCCTGTTTCCTTAGTAGCATTTTGCTGTTGCTTTTAATGTTCTTTAGATAAAATAAAAATAGAAATGATTGGCCCTCAGAAATATGTGTTTTTAAACGACAGTAAGGACCAGACATAGAAATAATGCCTGTGAGATTGCACTGAGTTTTTGTGTCATTTTTTTTTTCCTAAGCAGCTGCTTGGCAGTTGGCTCTCTTAATCTTTCATGATCTATTAAAAAGACAAATTGAAACAGTCTTTTAATAGGAAAGGAAAGGTCAGAATAGCTTCGCTGCTAGAGAGACATTGTGGCAATGTCAGCCAAGTCAAAGCTTGAAGGCAAAGGTCTTCCAGATAGGATTAGTTGCATTAATAAAGACTGCTGTTTTTAAATAGTTTACCCAGTCTGATTAACTTTAAAAGGATTAGTATTTTTTTGTTTGTTTATTGTATGATTTAATAGATATTAAACTGAACTATGGTGATTTTTCCCCATCATTTTATTATAAAAATTTTCAAGCGTACATAAAGGTCGAAAGGATGTTACAGTTGAGATCCATGAGCTGACTAACTAGATTCTATAATTAACCTTTTACTATATTTGCATTGTCATCTCTCCATCCTTCTATCCGTCCATTAGTCTATCTTGGTTTTTGTTTTTTTATGTATCTTAAAGTAAGTTGCAGGCATCAGTATACTTTACTCCTGAACATTTCAGCATGTACCTCACTGGTAGCTTGTTAAAATGTGTTTCTTTACATAAACTCTGTTCCTTTCTGCAATATGTTATTTAAAAATTAATTTTTTTTTACTTATTTCTTTTATGAGTATTTTTTCCCCTTCAGAATATTGTCTAAAATTTTTTAAGAATTTAAGGCCAGTTTATAATTATTTGACATACAAAAGTAAAATAACATTGATTCCTAATGCATATTTAGACTTAGGTTTGAAAACAAGTTTTATATTTTTAGGGATCTCTTAATAACTTCAAACAAAAAATAGACCATTACGTGTTAAAGTCTGGCTGTCAGCATTCTCTGTGGGGATTCCCCTCTCAATTGTTGCTCAACTGTGTACTTCACTCTGGAAATAAAAACAGTGTGCAAAGGACCCAAGTAAACAGAACTTCCCCATTCCTTCTCACAACAGTAGTTACCTGTTGTAACCTGCTAAGGGCAGGCAGGTTTAATTGCTTTGTTTGTATGTAATTCTTGCTAATATGGGAGGAGATTTTCTGTTTTCTTTTGTTTTAATCAAGAGCAGCAACTGATGAACATGTGAGTCAATAAAATGCTTAATTTTATTTCCTTATATTCTAGTATTTATTAATGTCTCCCAAGTGTCACAAATCTTGGAGTTTATATTATATTGTGTTATATTTCATGACTGGATTTGTTTTGTTTTGAGGTCTGTTTTTCAGTTTATGATTTCTGACTTTTTATAAGCCAGTTTTTATGAGTGATAAAATATAAATTACACCTTGATAGTGCATAACTGTACTGAATGATGCGTGTCCAGTAGATAATAGTGCTCTGTTATTTGTTAATTTGTTTGAGATTCATTCATTTGTAATATAATAGGAAATGCTTAATTTCATCCTAAGTGCTTCATATAGAACAGTAATACCAAAGTTCATCCTGTTTTCTTAAAGCAAAAGTAATATCAATATGCTTTATACTCCTCAAGTAACCTGTACTATGTTATCTGCTATTAATAATATAAAAATTGATCCAATTTTAAGTTGTTTTTTTCTTTGTTCTTAGAAAGCAAATCAAAAGGCCTCCAGTGGATAATAGATACAACCATAGCTTATCCCAAAGCTGAACCCATAGATATTCAAACCTGGATCCTTGGATACAGGAAACCAACGGTCACACATGTATATTACAGGTAAGAAGTCTATGTTAGTACTCAGCATATATCCAACATAAAGTACTATCTCAGGACAGTGTGAATGTTTTTATATTAAAACATTTAATGTAAGTATTTAATTAATAAACATTTAATTTAATAAACATTTAATTAAATAATATTAAATTTTTGATCAGTAGCGAAAATAATTGACTCAAAATCATTCTTATGCTGAATTTTTAATTTGAAAATATCATTTGAGTAGTTATTTCACTGACTGATAAAAATCTCTAAAAATGGCATTCTAGAGACACTGTGATTTCTTGATTGCCTGACACTCTTGAGTAAAAGTAATTAACTTAAAGGGCAAATATCACAGATAAATATATACTCATTTGGGTTGAGCAGATTTGTATTAATAGATGGAATTTGTTTTTAAATCATTAAGTCATGTAAGATTTTCTAAATGATTAAATTGATAATTTAGCTGTGACTTACATTTTTAAATTTTTAATGTTTTAATATGCCTATGTCATTTGTGTAAACAACAGCAAAAACATTTATTGACTATTCTGTGCTAGCATCTTGCGATTTTTAAGTGTAGAATTCTTTTTTTAAAGAGTTTCGTGTAAATATGTGTAGGTTTTTATATCAAAGCATGATGCTAATAAGGCCTGGATAGATTTGATCACTTTACAAGCCATTTATCTTTGCTCTATTTCCTGGTCAAAGATCTCAACTCATGGCAACTAAGTTACAAAGTCAGCAGTTGGTACCAAGGAAGATCACAATTGCCACAAAAGCCCTCAATTCAAGAAGAAAACTACTCAAATTACATACCCATTGATGGTAAATAGGTAGCATATTTTCATATGTGTAAATCATCAGAGTTTTAAATATAAGTACAGAGTTGGAATAATTTGAAACTTAAATTTTTAAACTTAAATATTACAGTTGGGGTTTTTGGTGTGTGAGGGATAACTATAAAATTACAGTTGATTCTGCTGTGTGACTTACATTGCCAATTATGAAGTTCATGTGTAAGGTAGGAAAGTAATTCTTGATGACTATTCTGACTCCATTCCATATATGTTGTCCATTTTAGTTAATTTATTGAGCGCTGACTAAGACAAGGCAGTGTGCTAGGCCTGGAAGAATTTCTCCTATATCTAGCCTTCAGTAAGTTTTTTAATTGTAATATATAAATGAAGTTTAGTTTTAGTGTCCAAGCCAGGAATACATGGCTGTTGGATATATGTTTTGGATACATGTGGATTGTATCTGCATTGGATATATGAAGATCTTCGTAGCACAGCATACCCAGAAAGAACTGAGTCAAGGGAGAAAACATTAAATTATATAGGCATTCTATTATGGTAGACCTTGTTTTTCTTTTTTAACCAATAAATAGAAGAAATTTTAGTTTATAGATACTCAGAAAAAAATTAATGGACTCATAGAGGATCTTAGAAATCGAATAAATGTCCATTTTTTAGCAAAATTATTTTAACGAGAGCAAGTGCAAGGCTCTTAAATTCACTCGAAGCAGACATTCTTAACCCTGGGTCTCATGGATGGACCTCAGAGAATTTTTTAACTGTATCTCTATGCAAAATTTTGTGTATGTTTGCAATTTTCTGCAGGAAAGTTTCATAGCTTTCACTCTATTCTTAAAATAGGTTAAGAATTTAAAAAAAGATTGAGGACCCTTGATTTAGAGATCAAAACCAAACAGTAGATAGAAAATGAGGAATGGTTAATGTGATACAGAAAAATACTTCTATTAATAAAATAGAAGCTTCTCAGAAATGTATTTCTTTATAGAAACTTTATTACCAGACATAGAAATAATAAAGAAAATTCTAATGTGTTAGATTAGCAGAGGTTAAATTGTGATATAGAATCATACCCTGAAATAATAATTAAAGTACAAATTATGCCTGATTATTTATTTGTACATACACACACACACACATAACATACATACCCTAAGAGTCTTGGGACAGGTGAGGAGATATTTTCTTTTCTTCCCCAAAATTTAATAGATGTTTAGGAAAAGGGAAGGACCTGTGTTCAGGTGGGGAAGGGAGGGCAAATGAAAGGGGCAAGAGAGGACAGAGGTGTTTCGGTGTTGGGGTCGTTTGGGGGATTTGCAAGAAGCTGGTGCGAAGAGGTGTGGGCCATGTCCTTAGCAGCTCCCAGGAATGTCTGTCAGCCGTAGGTTGACTAGATCTCCTCATGTATTGTTCTAGGCCATCAGAACACCCTGGGGATAGGGAAACAAAGATTGGTTTTTTATTTGGTTGATTTTCTTACCTCCCAGCTTTCTCAATTCCAAAATAATCTGTTTATTGCTTATCCTCGATTTTTCCTGGCAGGAATAACACCATTGAAATTAAAATATATTTAAACAAATATGGTACTCCTTACCCATTTTGGGGTTTTTTTTGCTGTTCTCAGAAAGATTGGTTTTTATTCAGACTCTCTAGTTGTTTGGTTATATTTTAAAAATGTTAAACGAGGATGAGATGTTTCTAATTAAAATAAGAGATTTAAAATACAACATTAGAAATCATATATACACAAATGTGAATAATATAAATAACTGGGGATAGATCTCTTCCTTTTTTAATGGGGGGAGGTTGGCAAGAAAAACTAAATAGCATTGACTGCTTACAGTGGGGAATGAATGCCCAGAGAGATAGGAAAAGGTGGTCTGGAAACTGTAAAGTTCACTGAAAAATAGTAGTTTTGCTTAATGTTGGCTTGCTTATCTTCACCTATAGGCAGATTTTAAAAACTATTCATGAATGTGTTTTTTCCCCCTGCAGTTAAGCATAATTTATCCAGAACATTACTGTTAAGCCATATGGTGCAAGCCAATTTTGCTTCACATGATGTAGAAACCTATTTGTTTTCTTTGTAACCTTAGCTGACTTTTTCTTTTTTTTTTTTTAAATAAAGCAGCCCTCGTTCTTAGAGAATTTAACTGAAGTGATCACGTGGTGATTATGGTGTAGCTGGGCAAGTTAGTACTGTTGCGAGTTTTTTTCAGTATAATCTGGAGGAGTAAACATGTGTGAGTCAGAAAGTAATTATTCCGTTCTGCTCAGTGTTTATCAGATCCGACTTAGAATATTGCATGTCTTTTAATTTCTTTATTTTAAAAGAAATAATGCAATTAGTAGAGGGCTAGGAAGAGAACTAATGTAGATAAATCCTAGAACACTAGTACTACGTAAAAAGCAGTCCTTTTAGATCACATCAAAGCAGATTTCGAGGTGATAGTAATTAAGTGAAACCTAATTCTAAGAGAAACTCCAAGTTGAAAGTACAAGTGGGTTAAGAAGGAGTTTAACAGTTTATAAGTACTAAATCAGTACTAAGTTTCTGTATATATGAAGGACTTTTTTCTTATTTTAGGTGAATTTCATGGAAGGTAGTAACTGTCCTTTGCTGTGTGAGACATCCTGATGCCCACTGAGTGCCACAGAATGTGCCCCTGCAGGGCTTGGGCTCTCTGTTATTAGGCTGTAACATTCCTAACCATCAGAATCCACTTGGGAAGCAATACAATTGGCATCATTTATTTAGCATTAATCAGTGGTTGGGCTATTTTTTATTTCCTTAATATATTTCTTTTCTCTTCTTGGAAATTATTGTCAAAGCTACAGAATAGATTCCACTTCCTGTTCTGTACCTCACTGGACACACTGTGACGGGTGTATGGCGTCTCTGAGCAAGAAAGGCATTTTCCCTACAGAATGACTCCAGTCATAATGTGTTAGTACAATTAAGTGGTTAGAAAACCTTTGGTCTTTGTTTAATACGAAAAGAATATCTAGATTACCAGAATGTGCGGCAGAAAGTTCTTCTAGATTTTAAGTTTCTGTACTGGTGTTTAGGGATACTTATAAGTGAGAGTTAAAGTAAGGTGTGTATGTGCCCAGCAGTAGAATTGCTAGATCATAGGGTATGTGCATTTTTACCTTGACTGGGTTAGTCAAATGGTTCTCAAAGTGGTTTTATCAGATTACGATTTCATTAGCAGTATATAAGAGATCACCTCTTCCTACATCTAGGTCAAAGTCCTCACCTTTGGTTTTTTGCAAATCTGATAGGTTTGAAATGGTATATCATTATGTAGGCCTCAGGTTTCATATTTATGAAGTAAGTATAATAATCCTGTAACCTGATATTAAAATGCACTGCTATGAAACATAAGATTAGGGTGAAGGTAGCATCTTTATTTAAAAATTCAATCACTATTGGAAATCTTAAATGTTTGCTCACTTATGTCTGCCTGTGTCTAGAATGTAACCTCCACCAGAGCAGATACTTCGCCTGTTTTCTTCACAATTATATTCCTAGAACGACGCTGGCATACAGTAGAAGTGTAATACTTACTGAATGTATGAATACTAAAGTTCATGCTGTCTAGACATGCACTGTCCGGTTATAGTACAAAAGCCTACATATGGCTCTTGAGCACTTAAAATGTGGCTAGTCTGATTTGAGATGTTACGTAAGTGTAAAATACACACTGGATTTCAAAGACTATTAGGAAAAAGGAATGTAAAATATCTCATTAATAATTTTTCCGATGGCGTGTTGAAATGATAATATTTTACATTTGAAGGTTAAAAGATTAAATTTCTTTAATGTTACTAGATGTTCTCTGTTGTGTACTTTGTAAAATATTAAATTTATTTTTAAAAATAAAAGCATATAATTATGAAAAATATTTCATAGAGGGAAAAAAATCTTTCCCAGCATGCTCACCTAAAATTCCTTTTCTATATTTCCTTTTAATAGTTGTACTTATGTATGTTTTTAATGTAGCTATTGTTGTAATATGCATAAAAGTTATTTGTATTTTACTTTATCCCACATAGCATTTTTTTTTTTTTTTGAGGAAGATTGTCCCTGAGCTAACATCTGTTGCCAATCTTCCTCTTTTTGGTGAGGAAGATTGTTGCTGAGCTAACATCCTTGCCCATCTTCCTCTATTTTGTATGTGGGACGCTGCCACAGTGTGG